CCACCTCTTTTTGATGGAACCAATTATACATATTGGAAAGAACGAATGAGAATCTATATTCGTTCCACGAACTTCCAATTATGGTTGGTTATCAAAAACGGGGAAGAGGTACCGATGAAGAAAGTCGGAGACAAGTTGATCCCCAAGACCGAAGACGAGTTTGATGCCGAGGACATCAAAAAGGTCGAGAATTATGCAAAAGCAATAAACATGCTTTATTGTGCCGTAAATCCTGATGACTACCGCAAGATCTCTTGCTGCTCAACCGCCAAAGAGATGTGGGATAAACTTGAGGTGACGTACGAAGGAACGGACCAAGTACGTGAAGCCAAGATTGACTTCCTCACCCAAGAATATGAGATGTTCAGGATGAAGGAGCACGAGAATATCGATGATATGTTCGACCGTTTTTCCAAGATAGTCAACGATCTTCATGCATTAAAGAAGACTTACACCGACAGGGATCTTGTGCGAAAGATCCTACGGAGCTTGACATCCGAATGGCGATCCAAGGCCGATGCCATCTATGAGTCAATCGGCACATCAACTGTCACCATCGACGGTTTAAGAGGTAATTTAAAAACTTATGAATCTACTATACTTAACCCGTCTTTGAATGACCAGAGAAAAGGCATAGCATTAAAAGCCTCCAAAGAACCGACAATGAATGACTCAAGCGATGAAGATGAAGTCAAGCTAATCATGAAGAAGTATTGCAAACTTCTAAAGAAAGAGAAGGTTGAGGATGGCCCTGTGTGCTATGGATGTGGTGAAGCCGGGCACATCAAGAATAAATGCCCAAGAAGCGGAAGGAATCCTCGTCACTTCAAAAAGCAAAGAGCATACATCTCTTGGGGTGGCGACTCCGGCGATGAGTCAAGCGAACAAGAGGAAGACGAGGAAGCAAACCTTTGTCTCATAGCTCAAGAAGAAGAGGAGTCCGCCAACAACGAAAACCAAGAGGTATGTATTTCTTCTACCGGTTCTTATTCTCTTGAAGAAATGCAAGAAGCTCTCCAAGATCTTTATGACGAGTTTGTTAGCGCTTCTAAAACCAACAAAGCTTTAAAGAAACGTCTTTCTAATCTTGAAACTGAAATTGAAAAAATTCAAAAGGAAAACGAAAAACTAAAAGAGGAAAATAAATTTTATGGTAAAAGAAGCGCCGACAAACCCGAGAGCTGTACGAAACATTGTGACTCTTGCATAGCTTTGATAGAACAAGTTGCTGAACTAGAAAACGCGGTGAAGAAATTTAATAAACCACATAAGGATCTTAATCTCATTTTTGATTCTATGCAATACACTAAACAAGGAATAGGTTTTGGGAAGATTGATGAACCTAAAAATAAAGAAAAAGTTGAGCACAACCGTAAAC